TGCTGTGCTGACAGCAAGGAGGCAGCTTTCTGGCAGACGGCTGCCCCATACTGTGCACAAGCCCGCCCCACGCGCCACTCACCCTGGGGCTGCTGGAGGGGGGGGCTGGGGCGGGGGCTGGGCGATGCTGATGTGGCGCATGAGCAGCGGCTGCTCCAGCAGGTCGGCCATGAGTGCATCCACCTCGCCTGAGGAAAGCACAGGCATGGAAGAAAGTGATGCTTGCGCGTTGAGCGCCCTGTCCCCAGGGCAAGCCAGGGTGGGCCTGGGCAGAGGCATACCAGCCAGGCAGGCGGGCAGGCCAGGAAGCGCAGAGCAGCCGCCTCGCCAGCGTGCCTGCAGGGCAGCAGGGCCACCTGGGTTGGGGGCAATGGAGGGCTGGGGCTGAGGGGCGTCGGCAGCGTGGATGGCTCCGCTGGGCAGCTCCTCGGGCTGCTCCTGTCCAGCACGAGGCGGAGTGGTGACGGCGCCTGCCTCCTGCTGGCGCAGTGGGGCACCGCTGAAGCACAGCCCGTCTGCCTGCCCACCGCCCATGGCCGCGGCTGCCAGAGTGGCGGGCTCCAGGATGGGCTCCCAGCCTGTGTTGGGCATCTGAAGGCACTGGTGGCTGCTGAGGGAGTGCTTCAGCGCTGCTGGCTGGGCAGAGGAGGTCCCTGTTGGCGGGCAAGGAGGGAAGCCGCATGCCTGGGGCAGAGTGGCTTCGTTCTGGGCAGATGCCTGTGCCATGCCCTGGGGCTGCCCCTGCATGACCGCCGCCTCGGCTGCCCAGGCCGCGGCTGCCTCCTGCTGCTGCAGAAACACGGGCACCTGGGCTGCCGCGTCTGCCGGCTGGAAGGATGCGTATCGAAGACCGGGGATGGCTGGTGCCGCCAAGGCGCTCTGAGGGTCGGACGGCGGGCAAGGGCTGCCGCCCTGGGCGCTGCCACCGCTGCGCTCTGTTGGCGAAGCCGGGCAGGCCTCGATCACGGTGTCACCAAGCACCAGGCGGCTGCCGGCGGGCAGCTGCAGGGAGGGGCAGGCAAGGGGGAGGCAGGGGTGGACCAGGGTGCCTTTGGAAGTGGGGGCTTAGCTGAAGCAGCATGCAGGCTGGAGACCAGCAAGCAACCTCGAGACGAGCTGACACCTTGATGATGGTAGGGTGGTGGGGCTCGTGTGGTGCCCAGGCCGGGGGATGAAGCACGCCGGGTGAGCCGCTGCGTGGGGAACCGGAGGGGCTGCTGCCGCCGCTTCCGCCCGTGCCAGCGCGGAGAGCGGCCATAGACGGGTGCATCAGCGGGCCGGGCAGCTGCTGGTACTGCCAGCCCCACGCCTCGCTGGCGCTGCCGCCGCCGGCTGGTGGTGCTGGCAACGCCGCAGCGGGCCACATGGATGGTTGTGGGGGTGCGTCGGACTTCATCACAGCAGGCTGCCATGTGGGAATGGAGGCAGGGGTCGCGCCTGGGGGCCAGCCGGTCACGGCTGCGGGAGAGGGGGCTGCAGCGACCAGGGGCGATGCCGGCTGTGGCGGGGAGAAGCCGCAGATCTCAAGATCCTGCAGAGGAGCACGCCGTGGTGGAGAGGGCAGGCTTGGGGCGGCTGGAGGACGCAGCTGGCCGTGGGCCATGGTTTAGGCGCTTCGCTGAAGGCGTGGCGTGAGGGGCGAGCGAGGCTGCTCTGCTGGCGAGGGAGACGGGAGGGCGCCCCCCATCGGCGCCGGCACCTCAGCAGCCTGGTGCTGGTGCTGCCGCTGGTGGTGGTGGTGGTGGTGGTGGTGTAGGAGGAGCAGGCTTGGCTGCTAGTGGGTCAGGGGTGGCTGCAGCAGGCTCCCACTGGGGCGGCGACATGGCACGCCGCTTCTGCCCTGTGACATGCCAGTCCATGGCTGCAGCGCAAGGGGGGAGATGAAGAGAGGAAGCGTGAGCATAGGTTTGGTCCGGCCTCCAGCAGGAAGAAAGAACCGAGTGGCTCACCAAATGCAAAGTGGCTTCCCTGTGGCTGCTGCAAGATCTTTCGCCACCTGGTTCCTCCAGTGAACACATCCTCAGAGGGAGCACGCTTCCAACCTTGGACCCACCCACCCACACCTGCAGCTCCCCTGCTCACCCAACTTGCCCCATGGCCGCCGACACGCTGGTGCCCCAGAGCCAGGGTCGGGTGGCGCAGGACAGCCGTGAGGAGGACGAGGAGGAGATGGCGTGGCTGAGGGCGCAGCACGGCGGCGCCACGCTGGTGGGGCCAGGCGCCAAGGCGCTGCGGGGCCCACCGTGGGACCATTCCGCCAGCGGCGATCATTCCGCCGGCCCCCCATCACACACCGAGCCCTCTCCCGCATTTCCTCGCATTTCCTGCAGACGGCTGCGCGGCAGCAGTACCTGGAGTCTCTGCCGCGGGCACCACTGGACCCGCAGCTGCGGCGGGAGCTGGATGCGGCGGCCGTGCCGGCGTGAGCGCTGGGCACTTGACACTACACCATACCCCCTGACTCGTGTCCCGCCCCTCTGACTGTGCCACGGCTGCTGCTCCTTCCTGCAGCCCCACCGCCGGCAGGCTGGTGATGGAAGGCGACGACCTGCCGTGGAGCTACAGCAGCATGGAGCGAGGCGCACAGCAGGCCGGCGCTGCGCCCTGGGCGGCCCCGCCGTGACCGGCATGGACGGCAGCCATGCGCTGTGCTGCCGCTAGACGTGCGCTGCGCCAATGTAGCATTCACCATGCGGGCGTGTGTGGAGGGCCGGGTGCAGCATGCGGAGCGGCACCACCGCATGGGCGACAGGCGGCAGCGGGCTGGGAAGGCACGCTGTTACAGCAGGGAAGAGCGGGAGACCGATTCCCTGCATGCGTTGTTCAAGCTACTTCTGGCGTCTGCCAATCTGGTGGTACATGGAAACTCTGAGCCAGGAACTGAAACAAGAAAGACTGAATGCAAGAACAAGAAGGATTCGTTTTTGGGAGGGGCGCTGCACACACAGCCCCAAGGGGCGCAGCGGGCGTCACACAAAGGTGGTGTCCGTGTAAGCCTCCAGAACCAGCTCGCGCTCCAGCAGGCGGCTGGCGGGGCCCTGCGGCCGCTGCGCGGCCGGCACGCCGCGCCGGGGCTGCGCGGCGGCGCCTGGCGCGCCGCCGTCGCCGCCGGCGGGCTGCTGCTGCGGATCGTACAGGCCGCCGGGTGGCGCGCGCAGCCTGGCTGCCAGGAAGCCTGGCTGCAGCCCCAGCTCCACCTCCCCCTGCTGCCCCTGCTGCTGCTCCAGCTGGCTGCGCTTGCGCCGCCCACGCGTCTCCGCGTACGGCAGCTGCAGGTGCTCCGCCAGCTTCTGGGCGCCGCCGCAGCGCGTGATGGCAGCATGCAGGTCGCGCCGCCCCGCCGCCACCAGCTCCTGAGCAGGGGGCAAGGGGCGGGGGTGGAGGAGCAGGGCGGAGGGACGAACTTGAGACTTAAGACTTTTTGCAGGAAGTGGGGAGGAGGTAGAGGTGCAAGGGCACGGCACCGGCCCAGCGAGCGCCCGCCTGAGCACTGCAGCCCCGCGGAAGCAGGCGCCGCCCTCCCACCTGTTTGGTGGGCACGCGCCGCTCCCAGCCCCGCGCCTCAATCAGCTGTACCACCGCCTGCCCCACACGCACCACCGCCGGCTGCGGAGGCACGGGCGGCGGCAGGCGCCGGCCGCCACCGCCGCTGCTGCTGCCGAGCGCGTAGCTGAGGATGTGGGAGGCGTGGGGGCGGTGCCGCGCAGGCGCCTGCTGCGACCGGGGCCCCAGCTGCGCCTGCTCCTGCTGCGGCTCCTGCCGCGGCCGGCGCTGGCGCTGCTGCCGGCGCTGCTGCTCCGCTTGCATCAGGTACGCAAACACCTGCACCCCGCCCAGCCTCACCACCGCACCAGCCAGGTCCGCCCGCCCGCCCTCCTCCAGCTCACGCAGGGTGGGCATTTCCAGGGCGGCGGGCGCGGGTGGCGCGCCGCCGCCGGCCGCGCCGCCGCCGCGCCCCCGCCTCGCCCGCCGCCGCCGCTGCTGCTGCCGCTGCTGCCGCTGCTCCGCAAAGTCCATGAGTTGGGCCAGCACCGCGGCCTCGCTGGGCAGGCGGCCGTGGCGCACGGCCCAGCCCAGGCGGCGCGCCACCGCCAGGCTGCCGCCGTGCTGGCGGATGGCGCCAACCAGGTCGGCGCGCCCCGCCAGCCGCAGCTCCTGCTGCGTGGGCATGAACACCAGGCCGCTGCTGCCGCCGCCTGGGCTGCCGCCTGCGCCTGCGCCGCCCTCGTGGCTGCCGCCGTCGCCCAGCAGGACGGCAGAGGCGGGCCCCGGCTCCAGCCCGCCGCCGCCGCTGCTCCAGCTGCGGCTGGCAAAGCGCATGGTGCGCGGGCTGGCGCCGTCGCCGGCGTCGGGCGCGCCGCCGTCGCCGCCCTCGGCCGCCGCCTCCCAGCCAGCCTCCTGCTCCGGCCCCGCCGCCGCTGCCGCCTCGGGGCCCGCCGCCGCCGCCTCCCCCTCCTCCTCCCGCCGCTGCCGCTGCTCCGCCTGCTGCTGCTCCGCCTGCTGCACATACCAGCGCAGCTCCTCAGCCAGGTGGCCAAAGTCAGACCAGTGGCCGTTGGCGGCGCGACCAGAGGCCAGCGGCAGGCCCATGCGCTCGGCAAACACTGCACGGAACGAGGGTGGGGGCGGGGGTGGGAACAGGTGTGTGTGCTTGCTGAGAGAGCCAGGGAAGCGGCAGGCGGTAGCAACGGGTGCATGCGCCAGGCGTGGCTGCTGTGCACAGGGTCGCCGCAGCCGCGAGCCCGCCGGGGACGGCAGGCCTGTGCGCCCGCCCCTGCCCGCGCCGCCAGCCCTGCTAAGCGCACCCGACAGGCCCCCGTGGCTGTCCACCCGCGCCGACAGCGTGTTGGCGCCGCTGCCGCGCAGCTCCTGCTGGGAGGGCAGACGCCCGCGCAGCCCCTGCCCCTCCATCCACTTGCTGCAGGCGGGGCGAGGCAGGGGGGAAAGTGTCGAGCGCCACCGGCAGGATGGCAAGAAGGCGGGCAGGCACTGCGGCGTCGCACCGGCTGCACGGCCATGCTCATGCCTTGCACGGCATGAGATGCCAGTCCAAGCCTAGCTCCTGGGCGCCCACCTGAGCTCCTGCTGCACGTTCTCAAAGCTGCTCCAGTAGCCGCGGCGCGACGCGGGCTGCTGGCGCCGCGGGCGGCGCACCACCACCGCCTGCCCCGCCACCTCCCGCACCGTCCACAGCGGCCGCTGGTCGTCTGCGTGCGGCCGGGAGGGGGGCAGGCGGCTGGGCACACCCGGCGGCCCAAACTCAAGCTGCCAACGGGGCACACACAGTACCCCTCCGCCGAGCCTCTGCCACGCAGCACAGCACGCGCCACACGCCGCAGCGCACGCCATCCCCATCCCCCCACACACAGCCCACCCACCCGAGCCGCTGCCGTCGTCCTCGCCATCCTCCGGCCCCTCCTCCACCCACACGGGCCGCGGCCAGCCGCTGACGTGTGCCGCCCAGTCGACGGCGTGCGGGGTGGGCGTGCCGCCCACGCCCGCGGCCAGGCCGCCCCGCCCGCGCCGCGTGGCCGCCGCGCTGCCCTCGCTGTCCTGCCCGCCCTGCCCCTGCTGCTGCCACAGCGCCAGCTGGGCCGGCGCCAGCTGGCAATGGATCAGCGCGCTGAGCGCGTGATGGCTGGTGGGATCCATCAGCGGGCACTGCAGCGACTGAGCCAGTGCCAGCCGCAGCGGCACCGCCGCGCCGCCGCTGCCGCACCTGCGCAGCAGGCGGGGCGAGCATTGCGGGCCTTGGAGCAGGCAGCCCGGGCGGCTTGCCGCCCTGCCACTTGGCTGGCAGTGCTGACACACTTGCAGCTATGCAGCTACGCAGCACAAGGAGCTTCCTGGTCGGCGGCACCACCACCACCAC